CTCTTCTTTTTCTTCTTCTTGCAGGTCACGGCTCATGCGCAGATTTTTTATCGGTAAAAAAGATCGGCCAATTTGCCCATCATTGCCGGGTAAATCGGACGATCAGCAAAATCAGCTGATTTTTTCCAACTTTACCAATTAAAAAAAATGTGCCAAAACCCCGAAAAACCGCCGACCATTTAAGCCACTAACAGTGCGAAAATTGGCCGATTTTTTTTTTGGGCGAAAAATTGGCCAATTTTCGACCCGTCTATGGCCTGCACTAGTCCCGGTCACTGTCCCCTCTGCATTGCAAACCGAGACTCCCATTTTCTGGCTCTGAAATATTTTTCTGTACGGCGTCCCTCCCAACCCCCCCCCCCCCTCCTGGCCTGCCTGACTTCCGACCAATGGTACAGTTGGGGGTTGTGGCGATGGGATTTGCGCCAAGCATGTTCTGCATTTCCATACAAGTCTATGGGGGTGAAGCAAGTCAAATCAGGGTTGGGGCCAATGGCCATTGGCCTTGTGTTGATGGCACCGGTTGGCAGAGGGAGGGCCTGCCCTGGGAATTGTGGTGGGCACCACAAGGAGATTGGGGGGAGGGGATTTGTGTTGAGAAGGGGAATTTGGAAGATGGCAGGGAGGGAAAATTTGGGGTGGTGTGCTAAGAGTGGTGATTTGGAGGGATTTGTGTTGGGGTGGGGGGATGGGGGAAGAGGTTTTGTGCTAGGATGGGTATTTGGAAGGCTTGTGATATAAAAGTAATATGGTGTGGGGGGGATTTGTGCTAGCAGGGGAAATATTTTTTCAGGGAGGTATGGAAATTTGAGGTAGTATGGGTGATTGGGGGGGATTTGTGCTGGAAGGGGGGGGGATTTGTAGTGGGTGGGAGAGGATTTGTGTATGGAGGGGAAATTTGAGGGATTGAGGATTTGTGCTAGGAGGGGTATTTGGAAGGCTTGTACTATAAAAGTAATATGGTGTGGGGTGGGGGGGGGATATTTTTTAGGGGGTTATGGAACTGTGTGGTAGGGTGGTTAATTGGGGGGGGATTTGTGCTGGAAGGGGGGGGGTTGGAATGGGTGGGAGAGGATTTGTGCTTGGAGGGGAAATTTGAGGGGTGGAGTATTTGTGCTAGGAGGGTGGAATTTTTTTATTGGAAGGGTGGGAGTTTTGCTGAGGGCATACAGGGAGAGAAAGGATTTGAGCAGGGAGGGAGGGGATGGGGGGGCAAAGATTTGTGCTGGGAGGGGGAATTTCAGCAGGGAGTGTGGATTTGTGCTGGGAGGGGAAATTTCAGCAGGGAGGGTGGATTTGTGCTCGGAGGGGAAATTTCAGCAGGAGGGTGGATTTGTGCTGGGAGGACGGGGAATTTATGCAGAAAACTACAGGAGGGGGCAGGTACCAGACCAGTCCTCCTGCACAAGGAGAGAAAGCAAAGCTGTGGGAGGGACCAGCATGCCCCACCCACTACAGGCTGCCTGCAGAAAACTACAGGAGGGGGCAGAGACCAGACCATTCACCCTGCACAAGGAGAGAGAGAAGAGCTGTGGGAGGGGCCAGCATGCCCCACCCACTACAGGCTGCCTGCAGAAAACTACAGGAGGGGCGGAGACCAGACCAGTCACCCTGCACAAGGAAAGAAAGCAAAGCTGCCCACATGGAAAAAAAATATATTTTAAAAATGTTCTTCCCAAATATATTGACATATATTTGAAATACTACAGTTTTGGCCGTATTCAATATATTTCAAAATATATATTTGATGTGTTGAAATGTGTGTTTTTTATATATTAAATATTATATATGAAAAAAATATTTTTAAAAATATATATTCTTCAAATATATTCTTCCGATTTTTTTTAAATTGTAAATGCATTCCAAAAATGTAGATTTAATGTATTTTTAAAGACATACTGTATATATTAAATTAAAAATATTTTTCATATATTTTGTAATAAAAACGCATTTCAACATACAGTATATATATATATATATTTTTTTTTTTTTAAATATATTGAATACGGCCAAAATTGTAGTATTTCAAATATATGTGAATATATTTGGGAAGAATATTTTTAAAATATATTTAAAATATATTTTTTGCTCCATGTGGGTGTGGGAGGGGCCAGAATGCCCCAACCACTACAGGCTGCTTGCAGAAAACTACAGGAGGGGCGGAGACCAGACCAGTCCCCCTGCACAAGGAAAGAAAGCAAAGCTTCCCACATGGGAAAAAAAAATATATTTTAAAAATATTCTTCCCAAATATATTGACAAATATTTGAAAAACTACAAATATATATATTTTTTTTTTTTCAAAATTGTAGTATTTCAAATATATGTCAATATATTTGGGAAGAATATTTTTAAAATATAATTTTCTTCCATGTGGGTGTCGGAGGGGCCAGCATGCCCCACCCACTACAGGCTGCCTGCAGAAAACTACAGGAGGGGGCGGAGACCAGACCAGTCATCCTGCACAAGGAGAGGGTGCAGAGCTGTGGGAGGGGCCAGCATACCCCCACCCACTACATGCTGCCTTCAGAAAACTACAGGAGGGGGCGGAGACCAGACCAGTCCCCCTGCACAAGGAGAGGGTGCAGAGCTGTGGGAGGGGCCAGCATACCCCACCCACTATATGCTGCCTTCAAAAAACTACAGGAAGGGGGCGGAGACCAGACCAGTCCCCCTGCACAAGCAGAGAGAGCAGCAGTGAGTGGTCTTTTTTACAGGAAGTCTCACCGTGGATGGCTGCCCAGATCAGGAAGAAATACACGCCAAGATTCAAGAAGAACACACGTGACTCAGTTTCGATTTTGCCCGGAGTTACGCTGCAAACTTCAGGCTAAGCGAAGGTCAGCCGCAGCTATTGGCGCCGTTAGCTTTTTGGCATCAAGTGACACGAAGGCGGTTACATCAGAAGAAAAGGAAATTGTCCTCGAAATCCTCCCAGTAAATATAATATAACCGGACTCGGGATCTGCTCCCCCCCCCCCCCCCATCCCGCTGTATAAAAGCTTTACAAACAGCGGCCCGCCGGAGGTTATTGAGTTCCTGGGTGGTCCCCGGGCTCTGAGAAAAAGTGGAATTTAAAGCGATCTCCGGGATGGCGCAGGGGGACGGCCCTCGCGTGCACGCCGACGCATTCCCCATCATTGGGATATAATGGCGTTCTGTGCAGCCCCGCGGAGGGACATGTGCTGGGAGGATGGCATTTACGGGGCCAAAAGGAATTTATTATACAGCAGTTTATGTTGCGTTTTATCACCGCACGGCGGGGTGCCCATCTGCGTTTCGGTCATTGGATACGCCAACCGCGGCGCTCGTTGTATTTTTACGCCTTCGGTGGGACCTTGAAGGATTTATGTTGCATTTTACACCTATAGATTTATGTCATGTTGAGAAATCTCACCCCCCCCCCCCCCCCAATACTGCCATCGAGTGGAACAGACTTTACTGAGAGCCCAGAGACGAATCTGAAGACGAAAACGGGGAAGGAAAATCTTTTCAGGACGTAATCATGTGCTGGGCGGCTGTGTAGTCGCTTCTTGCTTCTGTCAGTGTCCGCTGTGCTCTATAACCAACACCACATTTTTCTGAGGCATCATTATTTCTGACACCTGCTGATACATGCCTGAACTCTGTATGCTCTTCCAGCACAAGAAAGCATGGCACTGTTTCAGATTGCAGATCTCTCCTTTCTCTACAGCCAGTGCTGGACTCTGTCAGCCTGATGTGAAACTGCAGATTGTGTGCAATTTGTAGAGGGATAACTCAATTAGATTACAGATGATTGGCCAGTGGTATGTCTACTTTTGAGACATAGGGGGAGCCTTCTGTGTCCCCTGTCACCACCAAAGGGCCACTCCTCATATTCATTTAATATTTCATGCTACAGAAGACTATCAATAGAATGATAACATACTACAGGAGATGACCAGAGACTGCAGACACGATACAGGAGATGACCAGAGACTGCAGACACGATACAGGAGATGACCAGAGACTGCAGACACGATACAGGAGATGACCAGAGACTGCAGACACGATACAGGAGATGACCAGAGACTGCGGACATAGTACAGGAGATGACCAGAGACTGCAGAAACAGTACAGGAGATGACCGGAGACTGCAGACATGATACAGGAGATGACCAGAGACTGCAGACACGGTACAGGAGATGGTCAGAGACTGCAGACATGATACAGGAGATGACCAGAGACTGCAGACACGATACAGGAGATGGTCAGAGACTGCGGATAGTACAGGAGATGACCAGAGACTGCGGATAGTACAGGAGATGACCAGAGACTGCGGACATAGTACAGGAGATGACCAGAGACTGCAGACACAGTACAGGAGATGACCAGAGACTGCAGAAACAGTACAGGAGATGACCAGAGACTGCAGACATGATACAGGAGATGACCAGAGACTGCAGACACGATACAGGAGATGGTCAGAGACTGCAGATAGTACAGGAGATGGCCAGAGACTGCAGACTTAGTACAGGAGATGATCAGAGACTGCAGACATGATACAGGAGACGGTCATAGACTGCAGACATTGTACAGGAGATGGTCAGAGACTGCAGACACGATACAGGAGATGGTCAGAGACTGCAGACACGGTACAGGAGATGATCAGAGACTGCAGACACGATACAGGAGATGGTCAGAGACTGCAGACACGATACAGGAGATGGTCAGAGACTGCGGATAGTACAGGAGATGACCAGAGACTGCGGATAGTACAGGAGATGACCAGAGACTGCGGACATAGTACAGGAGATGACCAGAGACTGCAGACACAGTACAGGAGATGACCAGAGACTGCAGACATGATACAGGAGATGACCAGAGACTGCAGACACGATACAGGAGATGGTCAGAGACTGCAGATAGTACAGGAGATGGCCAGAGACTGCAGACTTAGTACAGGAGATGATCAGAGACTGCAGACATGATACAGGAGACGGTCATAGACTGCAGACATTGTACAGGAGATGGTCAGAGACTGCAGACATGATACAGGAGATGACCAGAGACTGCAGACACGATACAGGAGATGGTCAGAGACTGCAGACACGGTACAGGAGATGATCAGAGACTGCAGACACGATACAGGAGATGGTCAGAGACTGCAGACTTAGTACAGGAGATGGTCAGAGACTGCAGACTTAGTACAGGAGATGGTCAGAGACTGCAGACATACTACAGGAGATGGTCAGAAACTACTGACATACTACAGGAGATGGTCAGAGACTGCAGACATACTAAAGGAGATGGTCAGAGACTGCAGACATACTACAGGAGATGGTCAGAGACTGCAGACATGGTACAGTAGATGGTCAGAGACTGCAGACATGTTACAGGAGATGGTCAGAGATGGCAGACATGGTACAGGAGATGGTCAGAAACTACTGACATACTACAGGAGATGGTCAGAGACTGCAGACATGGTACAGAAGATGGTCAGAGACTGCAGACATGGTACAGGAGATGGTCAGAGACTGCAGACATGGTACAGGAGATGGTCAGAGACTGCAGACATGGTACAGGAGATGGTCAGAGACTGCAGACATGATGCAGAAGATAGTCAGAGACTGCAGACATACTACAGGAGATGGTCACACACTGTAGACATTGTATAGCAGATGGTCAGGGACTGCAGACATGATACAGGCCAGGTTTCAAACTCACATGAGAAAATTTGAAAATCAAGTTAAGCCTTATGAATGATCCGCCATACACTTCATCAGAGTCTCACCAATGTTTCCTTTGTGCGAACCATTAACTTGTAAAAATATCGACCTTCACCCTCTATGGAGACCAACAACATTTCAACACGCAAGAACTCAATACTCTCTTACATGTTTGCTTCGGGGACTAACAGCCGGACACGGAATAACGAGCTGAGAATCTCCAAACTTAGAGCAAAGTCTTTATTTCCGGTAACAAGCTCTACATGTGATGACAGAGAAGAATGGGCAGATGTAGGAGGACACACAGGACGCAAGGGGGGCGGCCGTAGGTGAAATATCCCATATTCAGCACTATATGCACCATCATGTACTATTGGGTCATGCTTGGAGTGGTACGGAAGGATTGGATGAGTTATGCAGGTTCTCTTTTTCTGTCTTTCCTCCGAGGCTATGCCTAAAGAAGAAGTCCACTGGGAGGACCCATTACCTGGTAAAACCTCATAGGTCTTTGCCATCCATGTTTTCCCTAAAGAAGAATTCCACTGTGAGGACCCTTTGCCTGGTGAAACCTCATAGGTCTTTGCCTCCGAGGCTTTGCCTAAAGAAGTCCACTGTGAGGACCCATTACCTGGTAAAACCTCCTAGGTCTTTGCCATCCAGGCTTTGCCTAAAGAAGAATTCCACTGTGAGGACCCTTTGCCTGGTAAAACCTCATAGATCTTTGCCATCCAGGCTTTGCCTAAAGAAGAAGTCCATTGTGAGGACCCTTTGCCTGGTGAAACCTCATAGGTCTTTTCCTCAGAGGCTTTGCCTAAAGAAGAAGTCCACTGTGAGGACCCTTTGCCTGGTAAAACCTTATAGGTCTTTGCCATCCAGGCTTTGCCTAAAGAAGAATTCCACTGTGAGGGCCCTTTGCCTGGGAAACCTCATGGGTCTTTACCTTCCAGGCTTTGCCTAAAGAAGAATTCCGCTGTGAGGACCCTTTGCCTGGAGAAACCTCATAGGTCTTTGCCTCAGAGGCTTTGCCTAAAGAAGAAGTTTACTGTGAGGACCCATTACCTGGTGAAACCTCATGGGTCTTTACCTCCCAGGCTTTGCCTAAAGAAGAAATCCACTGTGAGGAGCCATTTTCCGGGGAAACCTCATTAGCTTCAGAATCCAGTCCAAGGGAACGAGGAATGGGCCTATGCTATCACTTGAAAGATAGAATTGAGGCTGGAAAATGAAGCACCTTCAGAAGGCTGGCTCAGGCCATTGCTGGTCTCTGCTTAAAGGCACACCCTTGGCCTGTGAAACGGGATAAAGTAATTTCTTTCTATTTCAGTGGAGAGATTTTGGGCGCATTATGGGTATCCTGTACACCCTATCCCTTGGACTTCAAGCCAATAAACCTGCAAAGATTCCAAGAGTGAACTTTGGTCACTGATGGTTGGTCAGTGAATGCTTTGGGACAACAATAATTTAGTGTACTAACAGTGAGGTCTAGAGGGGACCCAACGTTTCAGCAGCTCCTTAGGGGTTCATCGCTACACTAAATATAGAGACCCAGAGACAACTAAAGGCTTCATGAAACTACAAGTCCTAGTTTGATTGCTAGCTACACATTGTGTCTCATTATGTCTCCACAGTGCTATAGAGTGGGATAGAGGGATGGGTTTGTGGGTGGTTTTAGCGTGGTGTGGCGGCAATGAACACACTGAGTTCTTTGGCAATTAACAAAACTTGTAAGGAATGGCTCAAAGATACAAACAACCCAGTGGGAAGACACCCAACTGGGAACACTCACAGTTCTGTGCAATAGAGTGGAGCAGGTTCTGATGCACCGACAGTGGCTGTCTCCGAGGGTGGAATGCATCCTGGCCAGTCTGAGCCCAATGGGGACGATTCCTAGGAAGGATATCATGTCTCTATCCTGACCCTACTCCTCCAGAACCTTCCCTACCGTTATTCACTTTCCCTGACAGACAGGGTAACCTGTCTCTATGCTGTACGCTCGCAAGAATCCACACCAAACACGGGAGCCAGGGTCTTAAATAAACTGCCTGACCCAAGCTAGCCACCAGTCACATGGAGCACCAACATCCAACCGAATCCCCTCCCAGTGACCCGGGAAACCACAGAGGAGTATGTTCCTCCTGACCTCCTCTCCCTCCACAATGCCGCTGCGGTTTGAGCGCACTTGCAGTAGAGAAAAGAGGCTGCACCTGCCTACAGGTTTTAATCAGCCACAGCAATCCTTCAATTTACTAACAAGTAAGAATTCCGTAAATAATAGTATACAAATCAAGGCACCAACATAAAAAAACAGAACTATCTTCAAATATCGCCATAAGAGGGTCCATTACACACAAGGTTAACCTCCTGACCTGAAGACAGTTCCAAATTGTGGACTTTTGACTTCTTACAGGGAACCAAGCCTAGAGAACTATCAACCACCAGCCAAGAGGAATCACCTTACCACCAGCTGGACCTCCATTTTGTAGCATTTCCAACTATTCCATAGATCCTCTAACTCAGCCTTTCTCAACCTTTTCAACACAGAGGAACACTTGAAATTATTTTCCGGGTGTCAGGGAACCTCTGCTAAAAATTACTATATCTACAACTCATGATACATTAGTGTGATGGTCATTGGGAAAAATGCTCCTTACATTTGTGGTTAGTGGGAACAATTCCTTTCTTACAGAGAGCTAAAAAGATCACTAGTGTCAGTGGGAACTTATCTAAGAGGCAGAAATTGCTATTGCTCAAGGAACACCTGGAAACCTCTGGAGGAACCCTAGAGTTCCATGGATCTCCATCCCATTGAGCTCCCATGACAATTTTTCTGTAACCCACTCCAGTCTGCATTGAAGCTTGGAATGACCTTCCCAACCAAAATCCCACTTTCTACTTCTGCAGCTCCCACCCACACATCTGATTGATGACCAACAATTAAGTAAGGCCTCATAATCCACAAGTACCACATAACATTTGTATAGGCAGAATGCAGATGTACCTCCTAACCTCACCCTCTAGAGCAAGGGTGTCAAACTGGCAGCCCTCCAGCTGTTGCGAAACTATAAGTCCCATCATGCCTCTGCCTTTGGGAGTCACGCTGGTAACTTTCAATCTTGCAATGCCTCATGGGCAACAGCTGGAGGGGTGCCAGTTTGACACCCATTGTCAGAGCCTGGGTCCAAACCTGGGCCTTCTGCGGTGAGTGGCAATGTTTCTTCTTGCTGAACCACCTGGAATACTGGACAGCTCCCTTGACAATTATTTGGATGATCCTACCTTGACCTTGTTTATCATGAACCTTGAACCCCTCGCGACCTGGTGCTAACACGCAGCCAAATCCATCTCCACCATCAGGAGCTCTGGTGAACACCGGTTGGTATTTAGACTCCGCACCTCGGGTGATCCCACTCCTCTGCCATGGTGACCTGCCTGTGTACCTATCCTGCTGGTTTCAGATGAGCCTTTCCACTGCTATAGCAACTGGTCTTCAAGCCCGACCCCTGATCGTGACACCCATGCTCTAGAGTATTACCCTGTATTTAATTCATTGAATTCCTTTACCTGTAGGAAGAAACAACTGTTATTAATTACTTCGGATTACATCACCAGTCTAGTAAAAATGTTTCCAAGGGCGGCTGATGGGAGCTCAGTTCCTAATTACGCGGGCATGCCCGAAGAACTACACCTTCCAAGAGCACTTTCTGTACACACATTGCAGCAGCATTGGTTTGCTGGTAAAAACTGAGAGGGATAAAGATGGCGGAGATAGTCAGAGTTCTGTAGTCCAGTGAGAAGGGCTGATAAAACCGCTTGGGATTTCAATGCAGCAAAGTCTTTATATTGGCAGATCAAACAGGTTTTCAGGGTTCTCACTGGATTTCTGGCAGACCAACAAATATTTCTGTAGCATGTTAAAGAGCCAAAATTTTGGGAAAATGTACGTATGGTAGAGATGTACTGAATGTGATTAGTTTCTTTAATTCTTCCCAGACATATACATACTTGAACTCTTTTCTACCATTAGTCATGCAGCCCCTCCATCCATTTTCTTCTCAGCGTCTAATTTGAAGGACTTTCATACATGGCTGATCCAGTGATTTACGTGCAAGTAACAATGCCCTACTTTACCAGGCCTCAGATCTCTGCGATCCAGTATAATAACTTTGATGAAAGAGTTTTGGCACCTCCTTTCTGGGGAAGGAAATTGCATCACTCCTCATTATGAATGGAGGCACCAGAATGGTTGCATTTTCCTAAGGTCTGTTGAATGGGAAGGTTGTAACACCTACCAAAAAAAAAACAAAAAAACACTGGGACGCCAATATATCAAATAAATTATTTTCATCACCTCCTGAACCCGGGGTGCCCCAGGCTGATGGGGGATTGCTGAAGAGTAAAAAGGGCCCAGGGTCTGATCGGCCTGCAGCAGTTGCCCCCTTTTGTTCATGTGTTTGGAGATGCCTGGTGGAATCATACAAGAACACGATGGAGTCTGGCTGGTGGTTATGACTCCTGCACTTTGCACTTAGAACTATGGAGTACTTGGACTTTAGAGTCTTTGGGCTATTTGTCATGTGGCTATGCAGCAAAGTAGCTTAGTGATTAGCACTTTTGCCTTGCAGTAGTGGGATCCCTGGATTGAATCATGATCAGGACCAGGGCTACTGGTAGAAACCATAGGGCCCCATACAGCCAACCTTACAGCCCCCCCAAAAAAAAATTAAAAACAGTTTACTATGCTTCACTTATGAATGAACACAGTGAGTGATCAGTACCAATTACTCATTTTGTTTATTCAGGAAAGGGTTGGTAAATGTGATATAATTACCGGACCCTTCTTCCACTCTGCATCCTGAAGGATCCTATTGTGTGATGGCAGCTGCAAGTGGGAAGGGGAGGAGGGAAGCCAGCAGCACTATGGGGGTGGGGGCACACAGGGGGGCCTGGGCAGTAGGGGGAAAAGTATGGTGCACAAGGAGG